GCACCGAGGAGAACTCAAACACTGCACGAGATTGAGTTGAATTACCTTCCACTAGGGGTGGGTCTAAGGCTACAATGCTGGCCCACCAAAATGGGGTATTTAGAAGATAATGGACTTTGTGATAATTCTCTTGGTCTTGTTATGTATTGGTTATGAGATTTATCTGGATGGTATGTTATGTGTATAGTAGGGATTAGTTTCCCTAGTAGTGGTCCTTAGGAACAAGGGGTATGTCAGTACCCAGATATTCCTGATTGTATGTTTATATCTATTGATTGTATGCTAGCGGTAAGGGGTGAAATAGTCCCCAGTGAAGGATACCGATGTTGATTACCAGTTGAAAGATACTGATGATGGTTACTGGTTGAAAGATACTAATGAAGGTTATCGGTTGAAAGATACCGATGAAGGTTACCGGTTGAAAGATGCCGACGATAAAGTATGGTATGTGGTATGATGGGGGAACTCACTAAGCTTTGTGCTTACACTTTCGGCTTTGGTTTCAGGTACCTCTTCGTCGATGGGGATGGAACCGGCGGTGTAGCAGCGCATCACACACAAACACACTCATGGTTTCCTTAAGGAGTTTTTGGGACTGTACTCTGATTTTTTTTTTACTTTTGACATCATGGTTTGGGACACAACAATATGATTTTTTAACGTGTTTTGTTTATTTGACAATATTTTGGTAATTTTTTATGGAATTGTTAATTTAAAATTGAAATTTTCGGGCTTGAATTTTGGGATGTTACATCTTTTCTGTATGTCTAATCTCCAAACTAAAATAAAGAAGTTATACTGAGACGAACAAGGGCATTCCTATGTTCTAGATATCTAAGAAAAATTTATGCAACCTCTCTGTATCTTGACATCATGAATTCACCTGTATTTTCGTTTCATGGGAAAAGTTTATTGAAGCAAGTAGCAATTAGGTTTTATTAACTTAATCCATCTTTTTCAATGAACATGAAAGAAACCAACCTTAAAATTTTACCAATTGCAAGAAGAGAACCATGTATGCTATGTACAAAAGCATTCTTCCCTAATCCATCATATGTAGCCTCAAACATAAGATAATACCTGTTAACGTCAATATATATATATATATACATATATATATATAAGTATTTTATGATATATATATATATATATATATATATATATATATACATATATATATATATATATATATATATATCATAAAATACTTACATAGTGACATAGCATTATAGGATTTGAAAAGATTTGAAGTCTTTGTGAATACACTAAGCTATTAACCACTGCACACGCCAAGTTATCTCTCATTTTTCAATAACATGAAGGCAAGCATGTAATGCCTCAACTGCCCTTTCCCAAACAGCTAAAGTTGGAACCCTAAATGCCACCCAAATACAAACCCGATGATGGCTACTGCCCATAGGACTACCACATGAACATTGAAAATTGTACAAGCATTAAGTAATGATTACAAAATACAAACCCGCAAGTGATGCTTTATGAGAAGAGCAAGAGCATCTAAACCCTAAAAGAACCAGAAAGGGTAGAACGAAAATTGAGCAAGAGCATAGGGGTACTTTAAGAGAAGAACATAATCTTGTTCGAGCAAATGATGTTGGAGGGTTTCTGGATTGCAATTAGGATGTAGTTTTTAACAAAAAATAGTCATGCTTTCCAATTCCATATAGGAGTGTAGTGCTTCGGCCTTTGAGCGTAACATTCGTGTTTGGGCCCATGTTTCCAGAAATTCTAGTATCCGCTCTTGGGCTTCTATAATCTTTCATCAATACGGAAAGATGCTTAGAATAAATGAGAATCAAGATTTGAATTCCTATTGAGACTTCAGAGTATAATACTGAATTAGGGATTTTCTGACAATTTCAACATCGAGTGGTAGATATGGCAGTTCAAGTGGGTAGAAGTAAGTAAGCCTTGATCGATGTCCTCCCTTTCTCTCGAACGCCTTTTGTATCCGATAGAGATTCCTTCATAACTTCCACTCTGGCCTTGGCAAACGACATTAACGGAGGTGAAGGGAACGCACAAAGAAACCCATGTGAGAGAGAAAGAAAGATTTGATTTGAAGCAAATAGATGAAATTGAAAGGTAGAGGCACTACGCTCCTTTTTTATGTTCGTGTCACCACACATCAATATAGAGAAATCGAGAACCCCTGCGGGTTTGATTTGTTTAAAAGACGGGATCAGATACTTTGTGATATTGTGATTTTGTTGTGGGAGAAAAGAGGATTGGTGATGATATTAGGGTTTTATTGGGTATTAGAGTGAGAGAGAGATACACACACACATAGAGAGAGAGAGAGAGAGGAAGAGAGAAAAGAATGATGGAAATAAGGTAGAGGATAACGATGGCGACCTTTCAAACTTTTGGGATTTTCGTTTTCCCCCAGCTGCAATAGAAAAGAAAGTGTCTTTCATTAAAAAAATATAAAGCAACATTTCTAGACGACACCCATTTTTAAATAAGTGACCTCCATGTTTTTAATGTTTTTTGTTGCACGTTAATTTTAGGGCACACACACAAGCATGTCCTCTATCCTTCAAATTTTAGAATAGATGACATTATTTTTAGGGCACACGCTTTTGCGTATCGTAAATCACCGCATGTCATTGTTTGCACGTTATTAAAAGGCTGTTTTCTAGTAGTGTAAGTTGCTAAAAGTCAAAATAGGTCGAGACTTGTTTTTGCACAAAAACCAAACCTTTCAAACGTTTAAAATCACAATTGATTATTCTATTTACCTACTTATCCCCTTAAAGTATATCAAACATTTAATAACTTTACCATTATTATATTAATTTTATTAGAAAAGCTTAACAATTAACAATTTTGTATAATCCAAACGATTTCTATTTATTTATTTTTTAACTCATAATTCTCATATCGAATTATCTTTAAGAAAGATTTACAAAAGGTAGCGGGTAACAAGCTGGTAAAAGAGCAACAACAAGTTGGTAAACAAACAACAAGCTCTGTCGCAACCCTTTTGGATGTCGCAACCTATTTTGAATAGCAAAACAAATTCTTTTAAAAAAACATCACCTATACATCTTGGAGTCATAGAATCATAACATTACTATCTTGGAGTCATAACATTAATGCAATACTAGTTCTTTTAAAAACATCATATCATTTATAGATATTGGAGTCATCAGATTTACTATGCACGACCATGCACGACAACTTAAATTTAGATTTTGTAGTATCTAACAAAGTTTTAATCAATATACCATTTAATATTTTTATTTTTAAATATAGACTTGTTTACCAAATTGTAAAATAAACAAAATCAAAAGATACCCAACTAAGTTATGTTATTATAACTAGACCTCAGATTTTATTATTAGGTATTATGAAATAAAAATTATCATTTTTAAATAAAATATTTATGTTCATACCTTATATTTATATTGAGTATTTATACTATTGATATAAATTAATTTATTTCTGTGTCTAGTTTAAGAAATATTAATAAATTTTTATGTTGCGTATTTATACTATTGATATAAATTAATTTATTTATGTGTCTAGTTTAAGAAATATTAATAAATTTATATATATATATATATATATATATATATATATATATATATATATATATATATATATATAATATTTTAAGATTTTCATTTTTCTTCAAAATTTTGTAATTACATTCTTTAATTCAAGCCTTCAAAATATTTGTGCGTAATTGATTTACACAAAAAGCTTTATAAATGTGCCTTATACTTTAGTATAATTTATAATATAGTATAAGATATATTAGGAATATTTTCTTCCCCGCCATACCAAATCTGAAAGTGCAACTCACATATCGATCTCTCCTTTGGAGACTAAGCATAGGGGTCCTTTGATATGGTGTTTAACTGAGCATATGGATTATAGATGTAGGGATTGGGTCCAATAAAAACACCAAACTCGGTCCTTGCTTTCTATTTGATGGATTGAGAAAAAAAACTAAAAACAACGTTGCCCCACATATCTTGCGCCTAATTCATCTCCTCCCACCGATAACATCCCCTGGACGAAGCAACAAGACTCCATTGGCGATCAAAAGAAACACAACATGATCAACAGTAGCAACTTCCAGTTGACTGTAGGCTCCGGGATGCATAGAGCACAACCGACGATTAGGCTTTAATACGTCTTTGAAGTTAATTGTTGTTTTTTTGTTTTTGTTTTTCGGTTTGATTAAAATTAATCTAAATCTAATTATGATTTTATTAGAATTGCAACAGGCCAAAAAATCTCCTATCCTAATAAATAGGAGCTTCATTAACACGTGGCATTTTCTAAGCCCTTCCAATCAATTTTTACCGCCTATATTATTAAAGTGAAATTCCAATTATACACAATGCTATGTTATAAGAATGGCCATTATGTTTGGTTCGTCTATGGAGACACGTGAGTTTTTGGAGGACAAAACACGTTGGAAGGAATGGTTCAAATGGATGTCAATTGAAGAGCACAATGAGTTAAGTTATGAAAGGTTGGACTGGTTATGCATCAACGGGGTCCCTCTAACATATTGGGATGGTGACAACTTCTCCCGTATTGCCAGCAGATTTGGGAAGGTCGTCATCCCATTCGATAATATTCATGACAGGAAAGATTTATCTGTGGGTAAGGTTGGTGTGATCACAACTAGAAAGACGTGGATCAATGAAGAGGTTCAGATTAGTGTAGACGGAGTATTATATGCGGTGGGAGTCGTCGAGTACTCGGAAGATTGGACGCCATTCAATCTCGGTCACTCCGATAAGGACGTAAATGAATTTGATTCCGATATTGGGGTTGGGGACGACGAGGAAGAAGGTATTTCAGATACATGGTTGCATGATAATGACAATGAATTAGAGGAAGGTGAACTCCGGTCTAATAGCTCCCCGGTAATTCAACTGGAGACGATAAGGTGTCAGGATGAAGGCGGAGGGTCTCCGGCGAACCGCATGGTGGAAGACGGAAAGACTATTGACTCTGTGATGAGGACGTCCCAAGGCGGGGAATCTGTCAATGAAGATAATCAATGTGAATCGATTGGAATTCCCCAGGAAGCTAATTCCGATACTGTAATAGCAGACTCTGGATGCAAAGCGGCAGACGATATGGGGAATATGGGTATGGACTCTTCTGCTGATGTTGTTGGGCCTTGTATTAATAATGGGTTGGGTAACCGTGTTGGGCCTAATTCTAACTCTTCCCATCTAGCCCGGAACTTATTCACCTCCCAAAAGGATACCTCTTCATCCAGTTCCGGACGGGGCAGCAGTGAACCAAAGTTTAAAAGAAGGAAAAGGGGCAGAAGTTGTCGCTCCCCTCCTACCGTTGATCCCATTTCTGTAAATAATTCCTCTTCCCAAAATGGTATCAATCCCCGTCTCCATAGTTCCATTGCTTCATTGGACCTTAATAAAGACCCATCTAGCTCAGTATCTGCTCACAATTCTTCGGAGGATCAAGATGAGACTGTGTCAAACGAAATCAGGCAAACGGTGGTCGTTGGGACTGAAGTCGGTTTTCAAATTGAGCCTGACAATCATATCCTAGCTGAGGTCATGGGGAGATCGGGTGGTTGTAATCTAATGCAATGAATTTCCTGTCTATCAATGTTAGGGGGTGGGAGAGGATGCGAAAGTGGGTTGGGTCAAGAGATTGAGATTAAATCACATAGCAAATTTCGTGGAGCTCCAAGAAACCCAGATATCGGACCATACCAATATAGACGTAAACGGGTGTTGGGGTTCTAACTATTTTGATTATGTTGCTGTGGATTCTAGTGGGCGATCTGGTGGTCTCATCTCTATGTGGGACTCCTCTTGTTTCCAAATGTTAGAAGTAATAAAAAAATCGGTACTTTCTAATTGTCATTGGCAAGTGTAAGTACATAGAAGGTGATATAAACACGGTTAATGTTTATGGCCCCCAGTCTTCATCTGAAAAGAAGAAGGTATGGATGGAACTACTTAGAATCATAAAGGAACGAGCCGACATGTGGGTAGTGTTTGGAGATTTCAATGTCGTGCGGAATCCTAGTGAAAGGTGTAATTCCCATTTTTCTCCTATAGTGCTTTCGCCTTTAACAGATTTATTCAGAGTGCCAATCGTAAGGACTTTAACATGGGTGGGGAGAAATTTACTTATATGAGCCGTGTTGACGCCAAGCTCAGTAAGTTGGATAGATTTCTGGTATGCCCAAGTTATTTATCTTCTTTTCCCCTCAGTGCTGTTACGGCTCACCTGCGGGAGCTTTCTGATCACAGCCCCATCACCTTAACATCCGTTGTGTCTGATTTTGGACCGGTCCCGTTCAAACTATTTAACTCTTGGTTTCTCAAGGATGGTTTTGATCAGATAGTAGAAGAGGCATGGAACAAATTTGGAGGCTATGGCTCTCCAGATGCGTATTTGGCAGCTAAATTCAGATTTTTGAAGGAGTCGATTAATAAATGGAGAAGGGACGAGAGTCTCAATGAAAAGAAGGATTATAACGACACTTCATCTCGTGTCTACGAGTTAGAGAAGCTCGCTGCGGTCAGACCTTTGTCCTCTGCTGAAACGGATGTCTGGAACAAGGGTATAAATAAAATAATGGACTGGGAACGCTTAAAGGCCTTGGATCTGAAACAGAAAGCACGAATTAAATGGATTGTTAACGGGGACGAAAATAGCATGTTTTTTCATGGGTACATTAACAGTAAAAATAGAAGGAATCTCCTCCACGGACTCAAGATTAACGGGCGTTGGTCAACAGAGGTTAATGAGATTAAAGAGGAAGTTTTCAAATATTAAATGAACAAATTTTCTGAAGATCATGTATGCAGACCCAAATTGATTAACCCTCAGTTTAAGTCAATTTCAATGATGGACTCCATCAGAATTGAATCCCCTTTTAGTCCAAAGGAGGTAAAAGCTGCGATTTGGGAGTGTGGAAGTGAAAAAGCCCCTGGCCCCAATGGCTTTACATTCAAGTTCCTTAAAAAATTTTGGGATCTCATCAAACCTGACGTGATGGAATTAGTGAATCACTTTGAAAGATGTCATTCGTTTGCAAGGGGATGTAACTCTTCATTCATCACGTTAGCTCCCAAAATCAAAGACCCTCTATCTTTGAACGACTTCTGCCCTATAAGCTTATTGGGATGCATGAGTAAGATTATTAGTAAAATACTATCTAATCGAATGAAAAGTGTTATTGGGATGTTAATTAGTGAGGAGCAATCGACATATGTGGAGGGGCGATGTATACTTGATGGTCCCCTCATAATTAACGAGGTATGTTCATGGGCGAAGAGAGCCCGTAAAAAACTCCTCCTCTTCAAGGTCGACTTTGAAAAGGCATTCGATTCGGTAAATTGGCAATATTTAGATTCGGTCCTTGAACAGATGGGTTTTGGAAGCAAGTTGCGGATGTGGATTCGTGGCTGTTTGAGCTCATCAAGAGCTTCTGTGATAATCAACGGATCCCCGACGAAAGAATTCCCTATATCTCGGGGTGTTCGTCAAGGGGACTCTCTCTCCTTACCTCTTCATTATTGGTATGGAGGGATTAAGCGTTGCCCTTAAAACGGCGTGTGACAAAGGTCTTTTTAAAGGTGTTTCGATCCCTGGAAATGGCCCGATTATTTCCCACCTATTCTATGCAAATGACGCGTTGTTCTTAGGAGAGTGGTCTCGTACTAACCTCAAGAATCTAGCTCGCATCTTGAGATGCTTCCATATCTCATCGGGCCTTAAAGTTAATTTCCAAAAATCAAAGGTTTTCGGTATTGGTGCCTCTGCGATTGAAACTAATCATTGGGCTAACTTACTGGGCTGTGTTGCGGGTACTCTTCCATTTGAGTACCTAGGTGTTCCAGTCGGTGCCAACATGAACTTAATTAAAAATTGGGAGCCTATAATCAAAAGATTTCATTCCAAACTCTCTGTGTGGAAGGCTAAAACACTTTCTTTCGGGGGTAGACTGACATTAATAAAGTCAGTCCTCGGTAATTTACCTACTTATTATCTTTCGTTGTTCAAAGCTCCTTTAGGTGTCTTAGAGGAACTGGAGAAAACTAGGCGTTCATTCATGTGGGGCGGATGTGATGAGAGGAAGAAAATACATTGGGTTTGTTGGGAGAAGGTGTTGGCAGCCAAAAGTAATGGAGGTCTGGGTGTGGGTTCCATAAGAGCCCTAAACATCGGGTTACTTGTAAAATGGTGGTGGCGATTAAAGAACGATAGTAAAACCCTTTGGGCTCGTGTCATCTCTGGGATTCATAACTTATCTAATAAGCCCTTCGATTATCTTTCTAAACAATCGTTAAGTGGTGTCTGGAATAATATTTGCAGTATCAAGAAGGCTCTACTTGACTATGGTATATATGGATGTTCATGACTTATTCGAAGTAGTGATTAAGTCGGGGGAACAAGCTCTCTTCTGGTACGACACATGGATGGGGTCGATGAACCTAAAGGCTAAATACCCATCTTTATTTGAACTGGAAGCAAAGAAAAGATGTAGGGTATCTGATAGAATTGTCGACTCGACTCATGTATGGCGCTGGAAGTCTAGACCAGTTGTTGTTGGTTTAGAATCTGAAGTTTCTACTTTATCTAGGGATATATCTGATATTGGACTGGGGACGGGTTTTGATCATTGGAGTTGTAAACTGTCGGCTGATGGCAGGTACTCCGTTTGTTCCCTTAGAAAGATTGCGGATGATACACATGTCAATTTCCCTGGCACTCCTGCTATTGTATGGTGTAAGGTGGTTCCAATCAAGGTGTTATGTTTTGTTTGGAGGGTTGCTCAAGATAGAATACCAACAGCTTTGTCCCTAGAGACGAGGGGTATTGTGGTAAATTCCAATTTATGTTGTTCGTGCATCGGGATACCTGAATCTACAGGGCACGCCCTTATGGACTGTCCGTTTGCAACAGTGATAAGGAATAACATTTTGAGCTGGTGTGGTGTATCAACGGTGTGGTATCCTATAAAAAATGTTCAAGATCTTCTTCAGCTAGCTGCGACCTGGAGCAATTGCAACAGAAAGAGAGAAAGGTTTGTTGCCATCTGTTATGGTTTGCTTTGGAACTTATGGAGGATTAGGAATAAACATCTATTTCAAATGGAGGGTATCTCTACGATACAAGGGACTGATGTTATAAAGTCTATGGTCTTCTGTTGGTTGAAGCATAGAAATAGTCATGGTATTTGTAAATGAGAGGAGTGGAGTGTCTCTCCTTTTGCTGATTTGTAATTTCTAGTATGTTGTATACTTCGTTTTCGGTCTCTCATCTAGCTCCTTGCTAGGTGAGGGTATCATATCTATAATATATATTTCCGTTTCCAAAAAAAATAAAACTGGATGGAATAACGAGGAGGGTTGCCAAATAAATCAATAAAACAGCTGCTAAATCATAGGAAATCAGGAAGCAAGATCATTTTCAAACTTGAATTTGCTAAGGTTAAGTCCACTTACCTCAATCACTTCCAATAAAATAGCTATCACATCGCAAAAACTTAGGAAGCAAGATTATTTTAAATTTTAATTGTATTTGCTAAGCTTCAGTCAACTCTTACCTCAATCGTTTCCACTTTGGGTCTCTCTCTACAAAACACATATCTCTGTGTGGAAGAACGAAGAATCAGAAATTGATCGTCATCTTCTCTGAAATTGAAAACTTAAGGTAAACCTAAGTTTTTTGCCTTTTATGCTGCTTTTTTTTGTTGTGTTTCCCTCCTGATTCGATAAAAAAAAAATTCGGATGTTTTTTGTTTACAACTGCGGTATCAGTCTCCTGTCACAAAAGTCCTGTCATCTGTCTTAGTGAATATCGCTTCATTCTCTTTGCGATTTTGTCGAAATTTGGTTCTGCACAAACTTTTTTTCTTTTACGCAACATTGATTTTGGCATACAACGCCATTAACTTTTTTTTAGCTGTGTACTCGTCTTATTATTATTGATTTTGTCTTACAAATTTACTGTCAATAATTTTGCAACGAAACAAGAATAGGAAATAATTTTTTGTTTCTATCATCAAATGGACTTGGATTTTGCTAATATTGGTCCAATTTTCGAAGCAAAATAGAATATGAAGTAAATTGCATCTGAACCGTGTACAATTAGACCACATACAATTAAAGAGGATCTTGCTTTTCAAACCGGAAGGTTAAATTTTGGCCTTTTTATTTGTTGGTTTCTATAAATTTTGGGAATTTGTTTTCTTTTTATGTGAAGTAAATTGTATAATGAATCAATGATGATTTTTTTAACGTAAATGTGGTTCATGCAAGTGATAGCTGTGAAAATGGGAAGCGGAAATCATCTTATATTTTGGTCTCTTTTTCATGGGTCAGGTTGAGGATTGAAGGTAAAATAGTAATTGTGTTATATAAAATGGAATAAGATAAGATTAGATAGATCATATAGAAACCAAAAAATCTTGTATATCATTTACGTTGTAACATGACCAATGTATATTTTCATGACAACCTTATGTTTCAAATAAGGTGAATTAACATAATGGAAACAAGTTCAAGCTCCATGGCTGATAGAATAATGATAAGCATCATTATTCATTCACAAGGAAGCTTATCTTTTGGTATCAAAAGACATCATGGCTGATAGAGTAATACACCTGGTTGTTCATTTTCCTATGTTCTTCTTGATGAAAAAGAATCAAATCTTAAAATAGAAGCAAGAGTGCATCTTCATGATTCAAAGATCGCTTTCAACTATAATGAACATTTTTAGCATCAAAAGCATAAAAATAATTACACATTTTATTACTTAACCGAATTACTTCATGGAGAGATTGAGTCGAATGGCAGTTGTAGATGTGGCCAGCATGATGGAAATTATTAAAATATGTGTCTATAATTTTGTTTCAATATTAAAAACAATTTATTGATCTTTTTTATTGTATATGAACATGTAGGTTCTCTTTTCTGCTAAGTTATGTAATTTTGTTTTAATAAATGATATAAATAAAGACATGTTTATTGATTATCCTAGGGATTGAAGATGGAGACCTGGGAGAGGATTCATCAGATGAAGAAACATGGAAGAAGAACCAAATTTTTGCAGATACAGTTTGAGATGATGGTGATATATTATTCATTGTTGGTTTATACATCTTTTCTACTCTGGTTTTTAATAGATTTGAAAGAAAGCTTTTGTCTAAAAAGATTCACATTAATGGAAACTTCAAATATTTTACATTTACACATGATTACGATGCACTGTTTTCTTTTGATTTCCACTAAGTGATGTCTGGATAAAGAGTTGTTTTTTTGTATGGTTGTTTGAGCATGTTTCTTTTGAACAACACAATAGACGTTTTACTTTAAGTGGTTCGAATAGATGCATATAGAGTTGATACGTTAGATGGATAAATACTTGAACCTCTAAGCAAATAGTTTTGGTCAAGAAATATGGAGAAAAGCAACTATAGTTCTCACACATGCTCAGTTATCACCTCCAAATTGTCTTTCTTATGATGAATTTTCAGCAAAAAGATGTGAGGCAATTCTCAAGGTTGTTTATCGTGGTGCTAGGTCTAGAAAACTAGATATCGAGGTTCGTCCTTTCTTCAAATTTACCTTTTTGCCCTTACCCATGCCAACATATTTTATGTAATACTTGATCACCTTTTTAGTTGGGTTAAAAGATTGCAATTTTTGTTCTAGTTTGGCCCTTTGATTTCACTATGTGAAGTGTAAACTGTTATGTCTTGATAAAATGATTATTTTACTCTATTATATATTTGGGTTAATTATATTGTAAAGTAATAATAATAACACTTGTTAAATGATAATAATCATAAATAAAAGAGTAAATTATGTTTTTTTTGTCCGAGAGTTAGCCGGTTTTTGCTATTTTTTTCCTAAAAAGTGTCTCTTGTGTTTTTGGTAAAATGACCATTTTGTAATTACTTTTTTGTCCTTGTTCAAAATGCGTATGACTATATTTTTGGGACCAAATTGCAAAAATCAGCTATATTCATGGACCAAAAATAACATTTTACTTGGAACATCGACTAAAATCTCAAATAATAAGCATCAAAATTTCAAGAGAAAACCTATTGGGACTTAAAACGCAAAAATCAACTACACTCATAACTCATGGATCAAAGTGTCATTTACTCCAAATAGAAATATAAAAATAGAGGGTAAATCCGGCACTTTATCTATACTCACCAGTTTTAAATTCACAGAGTTAAAGTGAGGTACCAAAATCTTGAAATAAGGACCAAAAGTGAAAACAAAATCATTTTTAAACCCAAAGCAAAAGAACATTATAAATCACAAGGACAATTTTTGCAATTTACTCGTTACTTTGTATAAAGAAAAATCAAACAATGTTTTTGACTTTTAATATTATCGTTTATAGAGTTTTCCTTATTCATATTGGTTTGGTTGAAAATAGTAGCGATGCAACAAGAATGCAACAAGAATGAGAAAGATGAAAGGTTAGTACTTAATAGTCATTTTAATATATATATATATATATATATATATATATATATATATATATATATATATATATATATATATATTTATATTTGACAATTAATTAATGCATCTTAATTTTTTTAAGATTCATCCAAATAGGAGTGCTTAGATTCCAAGCATGGGATATTACTTTTGATATCCTCATATTCTCACTAGATAAACACAAGGAAGAATTTGCAGCCCTACAAGATACTATATAGGTTTTGAAACACATTGAAATTTTAGTCAATTACTCGATTAAATATGGTGTAAGTACATATGTACCAATTTTTTCTTTAAAACTCCTTTTATTTAAAACTCCTTATGTACTTGAAGTGTAAAACCTAATATTTGCCTCCTATTTATTTATCATTTGAAGGTGGGTTACGGAATATGCTTTGAATCTTATTTCTTTCATCATCAATTTCATCTATAAAGTACCTAAGCTAACAAATGGCTTTATTTTGTGTAAGAAAAAAATCTTGGATTTCGTGTTAAGATAGAACAAATATAAAATAGAGAAAGGGGTCATGGTTGACATGTTCATTTGTAGTGTTACTCCTTAAGTTATCTTTTGGAATAATCCTACAGTATATTAGATAACAAAGTGGATGATTGAAGATAATATATTATTTAAAAGCAAATGGAACTGTAGAAGTTATTCATATGATTTCATCCATGCCTTTATCTAACATTTTACTCTAACATTTTTTTCTTCAATTTATAGCACTGTACTTTTGATAATATATACAATCGTAGAATTTTACCATTGAGTTTGTTTCTAATTAGCCCATTATACTTATGAAAATTTTACATAGTTTAGCTAATATTACTTTTTTTTTTTTCATAATACAATTTTCTTTACTGGAATCATTATATTCATTTACGATCATATATTGTGGATGTTTTACAAATAAATTAGTTAACATATTTATTATATCATAACATAATTTGATCTTTGAATGGATGGTTTTTATAGTAAAATGGTCAAATTATTAATTAATATTAGTTTGCATTTGGTGTTGACAATTTGGTTGTTAAAAGAGTAATGATACTTTGCAAAGTATACGAGCTACTTTCAAGTTATAATTCTATTTTGTTAAATGTTGGACATGGATGTTTCATTTATTTAAATTTAAATACATAAACAAATAAAATATGATTTTATTTTGTATGTAAATGAATGTTTCTACATTTATAGTCTTTTTGTTATTATTTTTTTAAATAATCAATATAATATTCTAAATAAAATTTATATCTTTTTAATTTAATAAAATTTAATAAATATTTGATGTTTCATAACTATTTTGAATTATAATATTATTTTTCTTTTTTACCCGTGATTTCTACAAATTGTAACCTAGTTTTAACAATAAAAGTACAGTAGACCTGGTTGATTTAAAGAAAATTATTTTCCTAAAAAGTTACTTACGTGGATTGACTACAAATTATAATTTTAAAATTTTGTTTTAGCCCTTTTGGTTTATATAAAAGTTTCACTTATAATTTTTAACTTTAGCTTTTATCATTTAAATAAAAGACAAAATTACAAATATGGTTCATGTGGTTTACCAAAAGTCACAAAGTCAGTCTCTGCTAATTTTTTTTGATGCAAATGGTCCTTGTAGTTTGCAAATGGCCATTTTTACTAACACCGTTAGTATTAACCCGTTAGGTACTGAATCTGTAAGGGCATTTTCGTCTTTTCAAGTATAAAAATATTGAATTCGAGACATTTAATAAACCACATGGACCATTTTCGAAGTTTGTTTGAAAAAGTGAAATAATTAGCTTAAAAAAGAAGGGGGCAAGGCTCGAACTTGAGACCTACCCCTTTATATCACAAGGGCCCTTACCAATTGAGCTGGAAGCTCATTTGGTTATATCTTCCGAAAACTATTTTATATAATAACGAAAACGTTAATACATAAATAATAAACAAATTACAAAAAACAATTTTTTTACATAATTTTTTTTTAAATAAAGCAAAATGTATTTTAGCTGTATTATAAAAAAATAGTTTTTTACAAACAATTTGTATGTATTATTATGTATTTATTTTACGTAAAATATATTATATTCATAGTATGTCTAGGTGGTAACAATGCCATCGGCTATGTTCTGACTACTACTATCTTCAAGTTTGAAGAACACATTAGTGTTTTTTTACTCAATACATAACGAACTTAATTAATTTAGAAAAAATGAGTACCAAATATGCAGCCAACAAACTACAAGTCAACATAGTTTGTTAGGTACAATAAAAAAAATTATTGTTATAAAATCTTGTTTATGGAATAACAAACTCAATGGATTATGCTAAAGATTAAGGAGATTACCTTTAAACTTAAAACAAATTGAAAATAATAGACTTGGTCAACGTAGTTTTTTATTTAAACTTAAAAAAAATTGACAGTAATAAACTTGGTCAACATAGTTTGTTACGAATAATTTAAAAAAAAATATTATTGTTCTAAAATCTTGTTTATGGAATAACAAACTTAGTGGCTTATGCCAAAGATTAAGGGATGAAAAAGTAACTTTTGGCCAAAGTCTAACCGGTAAAGTCAAATATTGGGATCCTATTACAGATTTGCAAAGTACGATGATATAATGTGTACATACTTTTTAAAAATAGTTGATATATAATTGTATCATGTTGGAAAACAGAACTAATCAACATGATTCCAATTTTTTTTTTTAATTAGGGTAAAGATCCTAAATGTTTACGAATTATAAAAAAGTTTGGTAGTAGAAATCAAAATTAGTACCTCCAAATCAGTGATTGCAATGATGGATGAATCCAGAAGAATAATCGTAGTATGTGTAGGTGATAACAATGTCATCGGTTGTGTTCTGATTACTGCTGTCTTCAAATTTGAAGAACATATTAGTGTTTTTTTACGTTATACATAACAGACTTAATTAATTCAGAAAGAATGAGTACCAAATATGCAGCCAAAAGACCACATATCAATGTAGTTTGTTATTTAAGTTTAAAACAAATTGACAATAATAGACTTGATCAAGATAGTTTGTTACGAACAATAAAAAATATTATTGTCATAAAATCTTGTTTGTGGAATAACAAACTCAGTGGCTTAAGCAAAGGTTAAGGAGATTACATTTAAACTTAAAAAAAAAATTGACAATAATAGACTTGGTCAACATAGTTTGTTATTTAAACTTAAAACAAATTGACAATAATAGACTTGGTCAACATAGTTTGTTACGAACAATTAAAAAACTATTGTTATAAAATCTTGCTTGTGGAATAACAAACGTTGTGGCTTAAGCTAAAGATTAAGGGATGAAGAAGTAACTTTTTAGCAAAAGTTTAACCGCTAAAGTCTAATATTGGGATCCGATTGCAGATTTGCAAAGTAGGATGATATAATGTATATACACTTTTAAAAAATAGTTGAAATATAATTGTATCATGCTGCGAAACAAAACTAATCAATATGATTCTGAACAAAATTTTATTTTAGTTAGGGTAAAGATCCTAAATATTGACGAATTATAAGAAAGTTTGGTAGTAGAAATCAAAATTAGTACGTTCAAATTAGTAAGATTGTAATGATGGATAAATCCATAAGTATAATCATAGTATGTGTAGGTGGTAACAATGCCATCGGCTGTGTTTTGACTACTGTTGCCTTCAAATTTAAAGAACAGATTAATGTTTTTTTACTTAATACATAACATAGTTAATTAATTCATAAATAATGAGTGCCAAATATGCAACCAACAGACCACATGTCAACAGCTGTTGAATAATGAGTAGCACCCAAAAGAAATTCTGGAACTATATACCAAAGGGTCAATATCTGAAATTATACAAGTTATTTAGCAATCTTCAAATTTAACTTTTTTTAAAGAATTTTAACCATTTTGTCAATCAAAATGGTACCTTTTAAGAATTTTCACCCAATAGGACTGTCTTCCCATCTTTGTTTACATATTGCTTCACATCCAACAGTCTGTCTGATTACATTAATCGCAGTCAAATCCAGAAGAATCAATACCATTTCGATTTGATTACTAAAAAACTGTAGATAGAAACATAAATCTAATACGTATAATATATACCTAAAACCTAAATAAGAGTTACTCAAATCAAAATTTCCCATTAGAATAATCAAAATGGAAAACCAGTTGCAGATTCATAAAAAGTCATATACCTTGAGAAGAAGAAAAACACAATGGGAATAATCTTTGGTAGTGAATCTCAATTTAAGTTGTTGGTAACAAACACAATGCAGGAGATGCACTGATGGAGAAGAACATAGATAGAAATTAGAGAGATCATCGGTTCTTGAAGAGGAAGAACATGGATAAAAATTAGAGAGATCAACGGCTCTTGATATTATCTTAATCAGAGAGAGAAAGAGGAAGAGAGCAATCCCTATTTTGGGGGGAAAATGGTATAGATGGTAACAAAGGCGTATTTGTAGTTCCCTTTTTTTATGATGACATCTGCGAAATTGATCCAACGGTTTAGAATAATCAATGAAAAACATTGAAGGGGCCAGATTGTTTTAGGTGATGTGTTTAGGTTTCTGCTTTAATATATATAGAGATAATAATAATAATAATAATAATAATAATAATAATAATAATAATAATAATAATAATAATAACATAATTTTAGTAAGCATAATATTAATTAAACCATATAATTATATACTAAAAATATTAATTAAAATAAATCTGATAAGAAATAATAAAAATAACAATAAAATAATAATAATAATAATAATAATAATAATAATAATAATTTTTATATTGACATTAGTAACAATATAAAATAATAATAATTATATTTATATTAATAATAACATGAAATTTTAATTATTATATTTATTAAAATGATAATATTTAAAAAAGGAAGGCAAAACAAGGAAAAAATCCAAAAGAAAAGATGGGAAAAACTTTCACTTTGGCTACTATATTTGCTACCAAGTTCCAACATATTTTTATTTTTCAATATTAATTAATTATTTGTTGGTATTTTGTAGGAAAATTTCGACACATTTCTGACAGAATCTCTAGCGTATCTAACTTCGTACGAAATTTGTTGGAATTTTGTTAGATTTTACCTTTGTAGTGAGTTTGTAGGAAATTAGACGGAAATTTCCAACAAAACAAAATCGTCGGAATTTTTTTGTAGCTAAATCCAAATATTCTAGTAGTGAATTTTTGTGTAAAAAATGAGTTTGTTGTTTTTCTTGGAACAACCAGGCTCTAATTTGCATATGAAAGTGGTGTTGAATGGACTTACATTATATGACCAAATTATTTTAATACAAAACAGGCTCTTTCCAACATACATGACCCGTTTTTTCAATCAGGTTATATTATCGATTACACATTGGAATAGAACCAAATTGGATAGGGCTTTGAGCTTGAATTTGTGGGTAGAAAACCCAATGCACTTGGCTTGTAATTCATAGATTGTTTCTTTTTGGATAATTTCTTGTCATTAAAAAAAAAGTAATTATGTTAAAAAAAATATTGTCTGCAATAACTGAACTTATAATGTATTTTTCTTTATCGTTTTTGGTTCTAAGTTGTAGATGCAACATATTATATAGAACGTTGCAACTTCATATACATATGTAGTAAGGAAAGAACAAGGGAAGCCATATGGCCATAAGAATTTAAGTCGGTTGTTATTCAGAAATTACACCGTATCTATCTTATTATGGATTAATCGATTACACATTTACAATATATATATATATATATATATATATATATATATATATATATATATATGATAATATTTTCAAGGATTTGATCCTGAAAAATACCATAAATAATTCATCTGTATATTTCTTTCGCGAATATTACACCATAGGATTAGACACCACCATCTCCTATCATAACTTATATTCGAATAACTGTTTTTTTACACTACCAAACACGTTTACGATACTCAGCAAGTGCCCATAGTGGAAAAATGTTCCTGTATTGTGCATAAAGCAGTAAACAATTCTTCATGTATACTCCTGTAATTTCCTGTGCAAACGGATAAAGCCGATTAGCATATATCAATATTCAAGAATGAATATGTTTATAAAGCTTTAGTGGAAATGGATGTCTTTAGTTTTAATTATCATGGGCTTACAAAAGTTCTATTTCGAATTCAATTATAAGGTTTACCTGTTGAGGAAAATCACCGTTATCCATTTGAGCATTAATCAATAGCTTTGCTGCTTTATGTAAAGGCATCAGATCTCTTTCCACCTAGTTGTTTATAAACAATGAAGATCAATAAATTTTGAGCAATGAATCTTTAACCGAAACTTAGAGGTGAAAAAATCAATGACCACTATTGTGTTTATTTAAAGCATCTAAATTTCGAGTGTGGGTGAAAATATAAATAACGAGATTGGTTTGACCAATCAACACTTTCTATCATATCTTGATTTTGGTAAAATATTAGAATATTAAATCTCATCTAACACCCTTTTTTTGACCAAAATATTTTTATCAGTTTTTACTCATTATAATTAGCATACAATCCATATCGATCCATTTTAACAAAATTTTGTATGTAATTGCCACCTCTTTAGATAATCATGGAAAACTAACCTGCCCACCGAACATAAGGCCAAGCATAGCCCATGATGTTTGCACGAAATTAGTTCGGTTTCCATCCAGCGGTGTATATACCTTGAAAAATAATAAAATCAGAATGATAAGAGCTTTGAAATCGCACATTTCTATTTAAATAATAGCTTATTTTTTATTTTGGGACAAACATCAATATAATCATCTGGTTATCTAATTGAAGTTATTTGGTAGCAATCAACTAAGCTTACCTCAGTAGGGCAAGATAGGAGGCTCTCTCCCCAACCTCCCTCTTCATTTTGTACTGAAAGTAAAAATTTGAGACCTTTACGAACTGCTTCGTTATTGTCATATGTCTTTCCAGCACTACTTAATGCCCTTAGGGCGAAGAATGTTCCATATATGAAGCATACTCCCCAATAACCATACCTATCATAGATAAACAAATTAAAATAAGAGATAAATAATCTCATTTGTAATTCTTTATTTTTTTCCTTTTGTCATATCCCTGACAAAGAGAGTAATTTTTAGTTTATCGCTATCCTCTGTTTGGTTTGGAATTGAAAATCTTTTTATCAAGTGACACAGAAGAGATGCAAATTGATTGATAAAAGGCATACCGTAAAACTAAATACGCTATGTTCATTTGGCCATATAACTAGGGAGTGATAAAGCCTATTTAAAACCTAGAAAGGATATGGATTATAACATGTTTACATGGTATGGGGATTTGAGCATATTGAGAATACAATACTTTTAGTGTGGGAGGTTTCTGTTAACAGCATATGTTGGAGATGATGAGCAATATAACACATGTTTTTTCTGTCTTACTCTCTAGGATTATTGGAAGCAATTTTGGATTTTTATTAGCCTTACTTGGCCAATATGATTTCTTTCACCTTGCACAATATCCTTTATAAATCATTTCTCAATATAAATATTAATCATGAGTATCTCTCTTGTGTGGACTCAATAGAAAAGTCATCATTGGTCCTCAATAACAAGATTTGTTCTGAGAAAGTTAGTGAACTTTCGCTTCCCCATGTGGTGTAGGACATGTTATATGTGTCAGGAGAGTGTTCGTATTTGAAACAATGTTGTTACCAAAAACATAAATGCAGGGTCGTTGAAGTGGACATCGCTCACATAAACTTTGTAAGACAAGAGGGTCCGATTAAAAGTTAAGGGAAAAGTATACATGTTGGTAGATAGGTCAACTATGATATACGTGCTCGAATGAAGACCAACAAAAAGGAGGACTAGAGAAAGATCAAAGGTGTGGAAAAGAGGATGCTACCGTGGACATTTGTGACACCCATCATTTTCGAGTGAGTATTACACCAAGAATTGACAAGCCTTCAGTTGTACGTTTTCTATTTCTTACGTGACATTGATGAAAGAAAGCATTCCGAGAACTCAATTATGTTGTACAGATTTAAATGACGACCACAAAATGGGAGAATGAAAGAAAGATGGAAGTTCTGGAAAAGAAGATGTTATAGTGAGCCTGTGGCTCAAGAACTTTGGGAAAGATTCAAATTATGTTAGGAATAAGATGCGAAAGGACACAAAGAAAATAATAACACAAGGATTTAATGTAGTTCACATGTAACACCTTTCAAATGCATGTACAAAAATATTGTCAGCAAAAACTTCCCAAATGTCACCTATACGAAAAATTGCTCTCGCCTATACATGCTAAAGTGCAAGGTTCTTAAGGAATATGCTTCCTTCATGGCATGTAGAATACATCCACTACACACATTTTCTTCTTATCTAGGGGTAAAAAGCCATTGGAGATCTACTTATAATGACAAAAATTAACCTAGGACTACTTGCAATGATTTTTTCTTTTCATAGGGATACAAAGACACTAGTAGATCTATTTAATAAATAAATTTTCTAGTGCCTTTGTAACACTGAGAAAAGAAGAAAGCAATTATGACTTAACCAGAAGTAGTCACAGGTTAACTATTTTCAATGTAAATAGATCTCCTAATGCATTTGTACCCTTTTGAAAAAATGAAACCATGTGTAACAACTGTATTTAACAGCTAACCTGGTACTAGTTATGGGCTAGGGCTCACAAGCATAATACATCACCATTTGGACATGTTTACCATTATGTGTGTCATAAACCTTAGAATAAATAGTTAATTGTTTAATTATGTCTAAAGGACAGAAGAAACATATATGGTAAGGTGTGGAAAATGCTAGGGTCCCATGGGTGAGATCAAGGGTTATCAAATAAAAGGAGTGAGAAGAAAACTTGATGTTAGACATGAAATAGCTAACATTAGCTTTATAATGGAATGTTTTATAAAAAAAAACATTATCTATAAAAATTAGAAAGAAACTAGACGGTGTGACTTTCTGAGAACATGACCTCAAATAGAAGGGAGAAGAGGCTAAAATTTAGGGTTGTAGAACAATATTTGTCTTAGTTATCTATTATATGTTTATAAGCCTTTATATATATATATATATATATATATATATATATATATATATATATATATATATTATTCATTCACTTTGATCTTTATCAGCTTTCCCTATGTCTTTTTCACCGTTCTTTCACTTATACTTCATCGTGCTGGAGGTGTGGTCTTCTACGAAATTAAAAACTTTATCTCTCAGGTCGAGGTAAGGTTATCTAAAAAAGCTTACAACCACCCAATTTTATTTTTTTATTATTATATATTTTATAAATGATTAACACATACACCCACTAAATCCTACTTCTAAGCTACTCAATTGTCCAAAATGGGACTTAAGCCTTCAACCCCTTAGGGGAGGGCCACTTTTTGAACTCCTTGGTACTGCTAGGCCAAATTCTATTTGGTCACCACCTAATTTTGTGATGACACTAATTTATGTATTGATGTTGAAAAAAAGTAGCACATGAGATGTATTAAATATTATACTCTAAGAGAAATGAGACGCAAAGGTTGAGAACGTTTTATAAAATTTCCTTTATATAAGATTCATATATCATATAATATCATAGATAAAAGAATAGCAATGAAAAAAACTTGGATTTATATTGTAGCATACCATGAACCATTATACCACTGTGTTTCCTCAAGATAGCGTACTCCATTTGAAATTGAGTGTTCTATCTCTTCCTTTCTGTGTCTTGGGTGGGCGTGTTTGAATTCTATCAGAGCTCCGATAATGGAAGATGTGGTCTCCACATGCCTAAGTCACTCAAACATGTATACTATTAGTCATTATTGTTTCTACAAATCTTATTTTATGTCCGTAATAATCTTTTTTTTTCCATCTATTATCATTAATTAGTTGATGCAAACATACATTTGATCAAGGTTGTGATTATAGATAAGTAATGATAATAGAGAACTAACGAATGTAATGGAGATTTACTCTTTCTCAACAACTATATCCGCGAAAACCTCTGAAGGATTAAGAAGTTGTAGAAATGGTTTGGGAATTGGCGGCTCCCAAACAGCAAATCCTCCGCTTATAGGACTCTACATGTGCCAAGAAAATAATAGGAATGAAGTTAAATGTTTACTTGTGCTTTGGGAAAACATTATTGATAAAACTAAAAATAATTTGTCAACCTATAATGGATAAATCATCTAAAATTTCAGTAGTGGAGAGGTTTAAATTTATAAAATATAGAATAAAGGTGTCGTACTTGCATGTAAAGAAGCACATTCACTGCTTCATACAGTCGAGCATTATCATCTTTTTCTCCGGCTATTTCTTGTGGCATGTTTGATAGTAACAATAGACACTATAGAATAAGATGAATTGTAACTTCTATTGACGCATAAACTATATGCATAATCGAAAGTTTCAATTTGAATTACATATACCTTTAGTGCTTCAGCTGTACAGTCAGAGACAGTCCAACCATGATCTTGATCGGAGAAGGTCCATGACCCTTTAGTGAATTGTCGACACATTTGGGTGAAATCTCCTGAAGGATTTTCTTTCACCTACATATAATTAAATTCTGTAATTAAGAAACATATCAAAGTTTAATTAAGAAGCCATACATACAACTAAGAAACAACCTGTGATTCTCTTATATAAAAGTGTGCCTTTTTTAGACATTCATCATATTCATCAGTCATATTACTTGCAATAATTGCTTGAGTTGCAAGAGCACAATCCCACAATTGACTACCAAAACTATGCATTGTCATTCCATCTTCTGCAATCCACAAGTAATCTGGAACTCTAGCTAGATGATATTTGAACTCATCACCATTTGGATTCTCAGCCCACCAACACATCATTTGTAGACTCTGTCCAAAATATATGAAATGTTTCATTATATTTTATAGATAAAAAATTCATTATATTTTAATCTAAATTTGGTGCTTTTCTTCGATTTGATATCTTACTTTTTCAACACATCCTATGGTCATGTATCTAGTCTCTTCTGATTCATAGCGCATTAATTCCACAACTCTATTAAGAGATCTTCCTCGTAGTTTAGAAAATGGCCAATATTTAACAATCGGCTCAGTAATATAGTGAAGACTATGCCACAATGCATCTTGTAGAAATGAATGTGGATAATAGTAGTCCTCCTGCAAATAAAAAAATTACACTCTTTCATTTCCATAAGATGGTGCACCCATGTTCCTTTAATTTTATGTACATGTAAGTGTTATATCTCCTCAATAAAAAATGAAAATATATAACTTATTGAACTTTCCTTAAGATAAAAATAGTGTTCATGAGTACGAACTAATAGTTAGGGTCTTAAGAATAGTTATTATAAAAGCACAAACCTTGCAACAGTTATTCCGTTGTTTATTCCAATTAATATCCTCAAAAGGAATAGGGTGAATTTCTTTTCGTAATGATGAAATCAGATGGGTAATTGGTCCTTGGATTCTTTTCCCATATAAATATGACATGGGCATGTAGGTTGTCCGACAATAGCACCACATCTCAGCTGCATATATCATAAGTACAATGGGATAGTAAGTGAATGTGAAAGCATATAACATTCTATATTCCCCAAAGTGCCATCTAAGTATGAAATCAAGGAAAGTATGTTGGAAATATGATGAAAAACATATTGATGACATAGTAAAATTGTTTAGGGATAAGTGGGAGAATGATAAAATAGGTGGAAAGAACTTAAGAAGCAAACTATAACCAACATAACTTTTATCCCGATTAGACACTATAATCAACTCCAAATTTGAATTTTCCCTAAATTTGGCTTACTTAGCTTTTTAATCATCTACTTTATTTGTTGATTCTCTCAATTCCCATAAGTAAAATGATTGAATAAACATATAATTCAGAAAATATATGTCAAATATAATTTTAAAATTTTTGGCAATTCGTGCCAAAAATGTTTGAAGTAGTTTGAAAGCATGTTGGAAATAAATTTTACTCTCTCCTTTTTAAAACCTAAATACTTTTATGTTTATTGACTTTTGTTTTTCATTCTAATATATGTTAGTTTCCAATTTGAAAATATGCAGTTACCTGGATGAAATGGAAATGCAGATGGGAAAAGCCAAAATTCTGGTGGCAATGGGTTGCATCCTTCCCATTCATACACTCCAAGAACCTACATATTTAAATCCAAAGAAAATAACTTAATGAATATCCACATTAGTGCTCATTTGAGGTATGAAATAAAAATAAACTATTCAATTCAAAGCACATGTTTAAACAGATGTTCCTAGAAAGGTAATTAAAATATTGATCATTTAGTGCAACTTTTCCATAACCAAACGATTTTTCTTATAACCAAACTGAATGAGGTTATTAGTTGTTATTTTATCTCTCATATGAAACCATAAATTTCTTGTGGTATATTTCTACTTAAATTGGAGATAATATAGAATTGAGAATAGGGTTATAGAACTATGAATTACCGAGAGGTAAACCTTCCCCCAAGAGGGAATAGAGCTTGCACCGCCATGGTCTAGTATCCACTTGCGGGCTTTAGCGATTGCACCATCTCCTCCATCTTCTCCTTCTCCTAATATGCGTAGTGCTACATAACTCAGTGCAGATCCAATCATCGTGCTGTGTCCCTCAATATAAAACCCCCATCCCCCATCTTCATTCTGCAGTTACGATACTAAATAATACAATATTGTTTTCATAAAACTTCAATACATTATTATTTGCTTAATTATATTGAATAGCGAAAACCATACAAAGAAGATCACATTATTATATTTACATCACATTATATCAAGTTTACAAAATATTATTTAACAATAGCCAATAAAACTGTAAAAAATGTTAAAATGATAAAGAAAAAAAACATTAATGAAGTATTGTTTACTTGTAGGTTCGATATTTTCTTCACATATTCTATTTGAATAATGTTATCCGTAAGTCTAATAATAATAACACTTAGTTTCCATTATTTGACATGTTGGAATTCAAAGAAACATTTCGTTAGTACTAAAAAAAGGTGTTCGATCCATGTTTTATTTCAAATGGAAAGCAATGAGATATTACTGGGAAAATATCGTTCCATCAAATTTTGAGTATTTAATTCCTAGCATGATCCCTATTTGTCTTACATTTCATTCCTTCCTAAGATAAAAATTTAACAATAGAGCCATCATTACTCACTAGTGCAAGGTTGATCCAGGCACACTGTTGCAAAATTGCATTTGGATTTGCATCGACAATCCTTTTCTTGGGGACATTATGCATGATAAATGTGTTCTTTTTTGTCACTTCTATATAGATTCTACATATTGATCTTGTTTGATGTTTCATATCTAGGGTTTCAAATTTATACTACTAAATTATTTGTGGAATGATACAACACAAAAATGCAAAAATCATATGGTGGTTTTCTTTGATTGTGTAGAAAAAATTGTGTATTATAAGTTATTTCTCTCTTACGGTTTTTGTAAAATTTTGAATATCTGGTATGGAAGATTCACATGCTTAAGGTTATGGTTTCATACAAACCATTCTATCCACCACCATGTTAATCAAACCAAAACATAAACAAGGATCTTGAAAAGAACAAGAACCTATAAAATAGGGGGGAAAGTGGAGATGATGCTACTAGAGGTAGTTTCAATGTAAGGATGGGATAAAACTTTGATTATTTTGATTTTTAAGGAAAATATTTAAGATGTTATAAGTTATGCATTTATCCATAAGATGGAAAATTTTTCTCTATCAAGTGATTTCATGCCATTTATAAGTATATTCATACCTACCAAACAGCATTTATCTAATGACTTATTTCATTTAGAAGGTGTAGCCAAACATAATAATAGAATTGTAATGATATTTTCTATTATGTTAGTTCTTTAAATTAACACATCTATCTCATTCCAATGTCATTACATTCCATCTAGTCAAATAAACCCTTAGGTTCCACTCTTTTATATTTTGGCATTTCTTTAACCACATTAAAATGGATTTTGTAAGTCTTGTCAAGGAAAGAAACCCTTAACATATTAATTTGTAACAGTTGTCCTTGTTAAACTGGTCCCAAACAAATTTATGACATTTCATCAATACATCACAAAACTCTAATACGACATGCAACGAGTATATCTGGGTAAATCGGGATGTAATTATCCAAGAAAATTACATAATGCCAATTGCCAATGTGGGTGCCAACCATAGATAGTCCATATATACATATATATATATATATATATATATATATATATATATATATATATATATACACACACATATAGGGAAAAGTGAATATACCCTTAAGGGTATATAAGCTTAGGTACCCAAACTCACTTTAATTAGTTGTTTTGTTTAATATATTCATTATAATGTTATTAAACTTCAACCTTAACTTGATTTACTTTGAAGATTTTTGAAATTTCATTATTGTTTTCCTCTTATATCACATCTTTTTGCAGAATACCTATTACGTAATATATATTAGAGTTGAAAATGAAAATTATGTAAGAGGAAGATAAACGTGAAATTTATAAAAATCTTATAAGTAAATCAAGTTAGAAGTTGAATTATAAGAATATTAGACAATTACAATGTATACATATTATACAAACAACATAGTATGATGACTTTGGGTACCTAAGCTTATATACCCTTAAGGGTATATATTCACTTTTCCCATATATATATATATATATATATATATATATATATATATATATATATATATATATATAGTCAAGATCAAATAAGAAGGAAATTTTTGGTAGGAAGGTAAGAAGTTTTTTTTCTATATATTTTTTTCGCGAACAAACAAAATGAATCATTAGATGATTCATTTGTAAGATGATTCACAAGAAAAAATTCTCAAAAAAACATCTCGATGATTCATTTATATAATGATTTTGTTGTTATTCACTAAAACTGTCATAAAAGTGAATTTTTCCTTAATTTACTTAAAAATGAATCATATAGATGTTTTTTTTGAGAATTTTTTCTTGTGAATCATCTTACAAATGAATCATCTAGTGATTCATTTTTTTTGTTCGTTAAAAAAATATGTAGAAAAAAAACTTCTTACCTTCCTACCAAAAAAATTTTCTTACCGGATCTATATCTTATATATATATATATATATATATATATATATATATATATATATATATATATATATATATATATATATATGGTATCTTCATGCATTTTTTTCTTTATTTTATGAGAAGATGAACATAAATTTTTTTGGAAATTGGTAAGAAAAAAAAACATGTGATCACCGAGATAATAAAGTAGTGAATAAATTTCCATATTATTCAATAACATATTATCAACATTATGAACATTGTAAGACCTGCATTTTATGGATGAACTTTTCCGCTCTTTTTGGGTGAAAATTATTTTTTAATAAATATGCAATAATTTTAAAAGATTTATATGTATTAGATACGTCATTATTTGATTAATAAATAAGATTTATGGATTTTTATAATTTATTTAAACCTTAATTAAAAATATAGAACTAAGGGTTAAAACATCAATAAGTCATAAATTGAAGACGAGACTAAAATGAAAATAATTTATAGAAACGGTATTGTGTTTAAATCAAAAGATTGTTTACCAAACTTCAAATCAACTAAGGGTTAATTTGAGAGAATATATGAACGAGGGGCCTTAGTTTCAAAATCCCTTAAAAGGTTATACAATTAGCCTCTTACTCTCCCTTATTGCTTATATCGATCGGGAGGAGACATGATAAAGAAAGAAAAATGGAAATTTCATTAGTGATTTGGAGAGTGGAAAAAATGCATTTTAATAGGAAATGAAGTTAGGTTTTGATTAGTAAAAAATCTCAAGGTATAAAACTTCCACATATCAAGCTCTAGGTCGAATTAGGGTTTGGAGCTCTATCTAATTTCAAATTTTATGTAAAATAATGTATTTAAATTGATTCTCTAACTCAATCTAACCTTTAGTTCATGAATTTAGGTTATTATTTATACTTTGTTGGTTGTTTCGATTGGTGAATTACGTTGAAGCCATAAACCCTAGCTATGGATGGAAGAGGAACCTAAAATACATCATTAAGATCAACCTTATTTTTGATTTGATGCTATTTTTATTTAAGTGATCATCAATGAATCACCATAACACAATTGAAATGGGTGATATCATCCCCAAGGATGGAATAAAGGAATTGGAGCCCTAATTTTTAAGAATTTCTATACTTGTTATGGAAACTTGTATATTTACTTAAATACTCGATTATTGAATCAAATCATGTATAATTATATTAGGAGTTATGTAATTATGTACATTTGTCAAATGATTCCATTAGATCTTTTGGAGATCATGACCTTGAAGAAAATGATTCCATTAGATCTTTTGGAGATCATGACCTTGAAGAAGATTCCATTGGAATTCACTAGTGAAATGAGGTGGAAATATTTTTCAAATGATGGTATGTCAATAATAAGGATTTTAAATTAGTTAATTGAGTTGTGAAAAGGGTAAATGGCACAAAAAACATTATTTTTACACAGAAATTCGATTTTGACACCGTATTTTTTTTTTGTGTCAATTTTGACACTGTGTTTTCCAATTTGTTACAATTCTGACCACTTGACTAGTTAACCAGGTTATATGCTGATATGGCATGATGACGTGTCACTTTTGATGACGTGACATGCTGACATTATATGCTGACGTGTCGAAATTGATTTTTTTTTCCACAAAAAACACTAAGTTTTTATTTTTTTCGATTTTGACACTAAGTTTAATTTTTTATTTCAATTTTGACACTATGTTTTTTTGTTCCAATCAAACATCATTTATCACTTTTTGTTCAATTTTGTCTATTTTCTATTTGAAATCGTATAAATATATATTTTTATTACATTTTAAACCGTATAAACATATTTTTTTCGTTTTAAAAACCACATTTTTATTTAAATACAAGGTGTTTTTTTTCTTACATTCAAAACATTAGTTATATCATGAGAATCAAACTAACCATAAGTTTCTAATAAGATGTAAAAATTTGATGGTTGCAAACTTGATATCTGAGTTTTGATCGACTACACGCCTCTAAACCTTCAAACGTATTTTAAAGTTGCATATTTAATATAAAATACAATTTTTATATAACTAATACATATTTATATATAAAAATATGGTTTGAGTGTAAAAAAAATGTATGTATACAAAACTATGATTTTTAAATGAAAAAAAAAAACATATTTATAAGGTTTAAATGTATTAAAAAAAATATTTATAGGGTTTCAAATAGAAAATTGTCAACATTGAACAAAATGGAAAAAAATGATGTTCGATTTGGAACAAAAAAACATAGTGTCAAAGTTGAAAGAAAAAAATTAAACTTAGTGTCAAAATCGAAAAAAAATAAAAAGTTAGTGTTTTTTTGTTAGAAAAAAATTCAATTTTGACACGTCAGCATATAATGTCAGCATGCCACGTCATCAAAACTGACACATCATCATGCCACGTCAGCATGTAACCTGGTTAACAGATCAAGTGGTCAGAATTGTAAGAAATTGAAAAATATAGTGTCAAAATTAACACAAAAAAAATAACACAGTATCAAAATCAAATTTCTATGTAAAAAAAATATTTTTAGTGTCATTTACCCTTATGAAAAATTATAAGAATTTGGAAGCACTAGAGTAAACACATTATAAAGATTACTGCCACCATACATATGTTTAAGTCTCTCTATTCCACAATTGGAATTTGAATAAAAAATGGTGAATGGAATCGTGATAAATTATTAGATTTGAGCGTGTCTAAGTACTTTATTAATGTTTGGAATGATCATCATTATTAAATTATGACTTGTATTGAGTTTTTAGAAGTTTTAGACATAAGTTGTTGCTTTTGTCATGTGAGTGTGCCTTCAAACTCTATTGCTATTAACCACATTATGAATTAATTCACCTATTGGGATATGGATTACTTCAGTTTAAAGAATTATATTAAGACATAATTTAACTATTATTAATCATTTGTTATAATAAAAGGTTTTGCTACGAAGTGATCAATATATAATGTCTTAATAAGCAATATAACATTTATGTGTCGATCTAGGAAAAATTCAGGCAAGACCAACCCCAACAGTATAAACACTTTTTTTCTTCTATAGCTTCTATATATATGCTTGAAAAGCATAGAAGAATTGATAAAAATGTTAAACAGCATTTGAAGGTTATTTCGCTAACTTTGAGACCATTTAGTATGATACGATAGATGGAAGAGCGTAGTGATTTACCTCACTTGATAATCTTTGTTGGTTGCATGCAAAGTTGAATTTTCAAGCCAAAGTTATTTTCAAATTTATTAAGTTGAATTTTCAAACCAACAAAGACCAATCATACGAAAATGAGTGACATCTATAATATTCTTCTTGATTGTTAAAAAGTTGAATTTCAAGCCAAAGTTAACGATGGAGAGAGAGATTATTTTCTAAGAGGATGTAATTCCTCATGCCATTTTTTCATCTTGGCCATCGAGTTGTGGCTAAAAGACACCTCTATGGCAAGGAACATAACCTATGCATATTTGAGTAACACCTATTTAGTAAGTCATGGATTACTCAGTGAGTGATGAAATAGGAACTTTGTGGATCGGTATGCAAGTTGCATACCAGGTGGTATGACTGATATCAGGATCGATTTTTTCATCCTTGTCGACAATAACTATAGTTGGAAGAAGAGATGTATGTTCGACATACCCAAATAAATCATGACTTGAAAGCATACAAACATATTGTTTTTCCAACTCGTGTAATTAGAGGAAGTTAACTTGATATAACACGTGAATGTGAGTTGCGATGATGATACTACATGCCATCTATTATGAATACGTGAAGAAGTGACTACGAAAAATGAAAAAGACATGCAATGAACGTTTTTTTGATGGTTTAATGCTTTTGTACAATGGGACTGTATTGTGTCGAGCAACTATGTTTATGTGATTAGAGTTTCCACTTTAAACATAGATAAAATATCATGAAATTAAGTACCAATGGTAAAATTAATTAATATTTGAAAGAATATTCTAGGATGTTAAATATGTTAATCCTTACGAAATTACTTCTTATAGTAACCACTAAGTAAACTAAACAAACTATGAAAATATTTTTCTATCAAACAAAGTGAATGATCTATAGAATTAATTTTTTAAAGAGTATATCACCGAACCAAGAAAATCATCAAAACTTAAAATGATTTCCTTTGGGTAATAGAAAACATATAACCAAGATGGCATATTCATAGAATTAATTTGACTATTTACCTGGTGATTGTAGAAGTATCGTTTCATTTCTTTCTGATGTTCTTCAGTTAAGATTGTATTAATTGTACCACTGATGTATAAAGCAATTAACTGCAAAAGAAAGTGGACAATTATATGCTTTAGATTATTGGTGCATAGAGACATAAAATGTGACATTACTAATCGTATATTAGATATGTGGCAAGATAATTAAAGATTCTTGCTTATTTTAGCTTCACGATGTCTAAAGCAAGGTCATTTCAGAAGATTGAAATCAATCATCCATATATGTTGCCGTTCTAAAAAAAAGTCATATGTGTGTCCTAACATAGGTTTGAATTTGTCATAAGTGTCATGCGTACATGAATTGGAATTAGAAAATAACCCATTTAGAAATGAATAATTTTCTACTCTTTACACTTACAAGTGGAGGAGTGAAAAATAAGGGGCCAGCATTTTCAGCCGGCCAATGTCCGTCTTTTGCTTGGATTGCACGTTGTAATCGAACTGCTTTTTTTACTGCAGTTGTTACAGCTTCAAAATTCACTTGTTCACCTTCACTTAGTCTCAGTGGAAGTATGCTCGTAAGATCGATTGCATTTTCCTTCATTAGCTATACATTATATAATATCATGTCACTAGTTTTCTCCACAAATTAAAATTGAATTTTCTACTAAAAATTTGATCTTTATAATCATGCATTATGACAGATTATATATATCAACAATAATTTGGTTATGCATCAAAATAATTAGTAACTGAACATAAGTATTTTCTTAAGAAAAATAGCATATTCTACATTTATTTTCTTATGTTGGTAAATTACCAAATCTGTAAGTTTACTTGGGTGTTATTTTGAATGGATCAGATCTATTCCATGTGACTAAGTGAATTCAAATTGATTATGGCTTTTAACATATAAATCCAAAATCATAACTAATTTGAAATCATATATAAACAAACCAAATTAATTCTGGTTGGACCAGCCGGTCTTCACAATTAGATTTTTCAAACGTAGAAGTGTTTAAAAAAATTATATATTATAATATTAAAAAACGTTTGATTGATCAAGTTTAAAGAGGTGTTTTGGATTATTTATTAATTTTTTTTTTAAATTTATTTTAGTTTTTCACCGGTAATAAGCACTTTTTACGTGTTTGAGTAGAAAAAAAAAACCTACTTATTTCGTTATGTTACCCGTTATAAACACTTTTTTTTTTATTATAAATTTTTGTATTTTGACTTATTAGAAACTCTTTATGGAGTCGACAACAAATTAAACTTTTTCTTATAATTTAAAGAAACAAAAATATATTAGATATCTATTTTGATTGTTTTACACGTATAATTAAAATTTGCCAAAAAGTAAAAAACAACTTATCAACTAAAGTTTTGTTATATACACTCCATTTTAGTCTAATATATTTTGTATACATGTTAGTCTATTAATCTAACATATTTATTTAATTCGCTAATCATTATATAATTATTTAACTATTATTGTTATATAATCATAGATGAAATTTTGGATATTATCAACACAACTTTTTGTTTCAAATAGTTTATTACGAATAGTTAATGTAAGTTTTTATACTACTTTATTTATATTAATAAGGGGTTTGCGATTGTTTTTTCAAATTTAAAAATAAATATGGAGAAAATTGTTTATTGATTTAAGGCCATGTTAAAATAGTTTTTAAAAAAGTGTTTTGATTGTTTAACATATATTTAATAAAAAAAATTAAATTAAGAGAGAACTTAATATTGGATAACTTAAAATTAAATGATAAGTTTTCTTTATTTCTATCAGTTGTTATATACTATTTAAAAAATAACCAAATTAATATTGTATATTATGTATAATTATAGATTTTACATTATGGTTGATAAGGTAATAAGCACTTTTTAGGTGTTTGAGTAGAAAAGAAAAAACCTACTTATTTCGTTATGTTACCCGTTATAAACACTTTTTTTTATTATAAATTTTTGTATTTTGACTTATTAGAAACTCTTTATGGAGTCGACACCAAATTAAACTTTTTCTTATAATTTAAAGAAACAAAAATATATTAGATATCTATTTTGATTGTTTTACACGTATAATTAAAATTTGCCAGAAAGTAAAAAACAACTTATCAACTAAAGTTTTGTTATATACACTCCATTTTAGTCTAATATATTTTGTATACATGTTAGTCTATTAATCTAACATATTTATTTAATTCGCTAATCATTATATAATTATTTAACTATTATTGTTATATAATCATAGATGAAATTTTGGATATTATCAACACAACTTTTTGTTTCAAATAGTTTATTACGAATAGTTAATGTAAGTTTTTATACTACTTTATTTATATTAATAAGGGGTTTGCGATTGTTTTTTCAAATTTAAAAATAAATATGGAGAAAATTGTTTATTGATTTAAGGCCATGTTAAAATAGTTTTTAAAAAAGTGTTTTGATTGTTTAACATATATTTAATAAAAAAAAATTAAATTAAGAGAGAACTTAATATTGGATAACTTAAAATTAAATGATAAGTTTTCTTTATTTCTATCAGTTGTTATATACTATTTAAAAAATAACCAAATTAATATTGTATATTATGTATAATTATAGATTTTACATTATGGTTGATAAGGTAAGATATTTTTTGTTTTAAAAATAATGTGATTATTTCATTTAATTAATATAATAATGAGATTTTCTAACATTTGTGTTAAGGAGACACAACAAACTTTAATTATAAGAAATATTAGTATAATTAAATGTGAAATATATGAATTATATATAATATTTATTATTAAAAAAATATGAAATACATTAATTATAAAGAATATTTTATTAAACATAATTTATTTTTTCTTTAGTTATGATAATATTTTCCATAATTAATGTTTTTTATATGTGATTTGAACATATTAGAAAATCCGTATAATAATTTATCCAACTCAAATATATGATTCAGTTATTTGTATGATATTTGTATAGGTGTTTTATTTTATATATTGATAACTTAGTTACAATAAGAATATTTCATATTACTCCCTAACTTAAAAAAAGTATTGAGTTTTAGTGTATTTTAGATATGTTGATGTTATTTTTCCGAAATTACATGCACTCTACTACAATTACTACATTTCGGTTTTATGTTCAGTTTTAAAACTGTTATTACGGAAAAATTTTGAAAACTCAAAAATACTAATATATATTTATGAAAATATGTAGTAATCTGCGATAATTACTTCGTTGTAATTAACATTCTATCAAATATAGAATCAAAACTCTCGACCAACATCATGGTTTTTAATACCCCTTTTTTAGCAGGAAACATCTATTAAACTAGTGCATCTAGGTGTTTACTACCTGCATCCGCATTAGGAGATCCCCACAAGCATGAAATCCTCCTTTCTTTCGATTATCTTTGAAGTTCTGCCGAACCTTTTCGATTTCTTCCTTTTCCTCTGGAGTTCCACCATCTGGATTAAATTCCCAAAATTGTCTACCAACAAAGTTGTTTGTACTATACAAATAAGGGCCATCCCCTTCCGCTATCTTTAACTCCCACATCGATCCTTTTCTCTTCGTTAAAAAACGATCAAAATCTAATTACTTAAGCAAATGTGTCCAACAAACCACGCAAGATTTCCGTTTATAGCATTACTCAAGATGTAATCAATGCAGTTCACGACTCCATACAAATTAGACCTACTTTTCATGTTTTGCAGACGACAGAAGCTAGCCTAGTGGATGCTTAAATATATAATTGGAGATATATTCTAAACACACGTAGCAGGCTAGAAACAACACGTAGGATATTGATGCCAAAGGCAAAAAAATGGGTTTCAGTATTGGCTTATCCAAAGATGATAATGACAACAAATGCTAAGTAGACGGCTGACATATACCCTACAAGAGAAAATAGAATTTTTTTTGACATAAACAATCTTTATATTGAGTATAAAAAAACAGGCAAAACTGTTAAGGACGAGAATCAAACATAGGGGAAAAATCAAATACTCTGTCGATATTTCCTAAGAAGGGAACATTAGACGAGATAAACAAAGATGGATGTAAACTAAAACAAACATATAACATATGCTTCTTATAAAGCCACTTCTTTGTAAAAGTTAGTCTTCATCATTTAGTGAGTCAGCTATATGTAATCTCATGTATGTATTTTACGTTTTAAACATGGCAGCATGTCATCGAAGAGCTTGTTGTGAAGACAAACAAAAAATATATGTAGAATTCTAGTAGAGAATCTAAGTAGAGAAGAAACCAAGAAGGAGAACAAGTGGAAACAAACCCCCTAGGGTGCATGCTTTTATATAGTAGGGTTACAAATTAGACCAAAATGCCCTTCTACAGCTGTTAATCAGCAGTTGAATGCTTTTGTAATAAAGCCAGTACAAATTAAATATGTAACACTTTACACAAGTTATATCATTTAAATGCGCAAGTTACATGTTCCATGCCAACACTTTACACGAGTTATTTTTTTTCAATGCTAATTCATAGGTTTAGCTAATTTATCGAACACTTTAGAAATTTAAAGGGGTTTTTATTTTTTTTTTATTTTTTTTTATTTTAGTGTAGATGGATGTGACTGTAATTTTAAGGTTTTTTTTTTAGTGTAAATGGATGTGTCAAATCTACTAAACTCATACGAGTTCAATACATTAGAAATGATCCTAATTAATTGTGTTAGTAGCCTCCTAGAGAATAAGAATACTAATATGAGATTGCTATACATATTTGCTAACTATGACTGAGTAATTGCTATTCTAATAAAAGAATAATTTATTCTTTTTTTAATAAGTGTTATCTTATTAGGGTTCCTAATTAATGTATATTTTTTTTCTTCTATATATCACCTTATTATGTCTCCTAATTAATATATACAACTTATCAACTTCATTACAAATTTCAAAATTTAAAAATTTCACTTTAATTATATTAAATTAATAACATTAGAATAAAAATTAAAATAAAAATAATACAAATAATATAATTTCATATATTTATTTACATCATGATTAAAATTTATATAACTAAAAAAACTCTTAATTAATAATTTATTTAAATTAATTAATTAATAATTTTAAATTTTTACTATAAAAAAATTTAATTAATTTTATAACCGTGGTTCCGACAATATATAAACTAGTGGTTAATAATATTCAAACATGCACACTACACGCCAATATTCCATCCCATTTAATTCAACTGCGCACGCTGCTTTAGAAGTGCCCTTTTACCTACAAATATTATCATAACAAAATAAATAAAGATTGCAAACATCTAAAATTATAATATTGCTAAATAAGACAGTTGAATTGGATTAGTTCTGTGAAGGTTGTGATTGGGTTACTATTGGATGCGTGTGTTTAAGATTTCTTGTAGAAGTGTAGGATTATGTTGACATGATTCAAATGAAGCGCTTCAAATAAACAAGTAACACGTTGGTAGTTCAACTAAGTAACATTATATAATTTATTAATTGTTAAACTTAGATTTCACACTCAACCACATAAAGCAAGAAGACGCATTTTAAAATTGTGTGCCCATTTTTAAATTTTGTAATCACTGCTTGCTTGAGGTCAAAATACTGTCGGGTACATATGTGAAATTAAGAAATAGTTTAGGAGTACTATCACATTCAAAAATGATGAAAAAAAGTTTTCAATTTTTAAAACCATTTTAAATCCATAAGTTTTACGAAAACAAAGTTTCCAAAAGTGACAATTAGTGGTGTGCATAAAACCGCATAAACCGTCCGCACCTCACCGAACCACACCGTATAATGTGGTTTACAACTTTAGTGGTGCGGTTTCTGGTTTGAAATTTTATTAAACCGCACTTTGCGATGCTCTAAACCGCACCGCACCGCGTGTGTGTGTGTGTGTATATATATATATATATATATATATATATATATATATATATACCAGTAAATTACTGAAATCGTCCCTATGGTTTGGTTAAAATTGCATATTTGGTCCTTAACTTTTATTTTGCACTCGGATTGTCCCTGTGGTTTGATTTTGTTGCATTTTCATCCCTGTGGTTTGGTCAAAATTGCATATTTGGTCCCTAACTTTATGTATGTAAGGGACGAAAAATACAACAAAAATCAAACCACAGGGACGAAAAATGCAACAAAATCAAACCACAGGGACGATCCGAGTGCAAAAAGAAGTTAGGTACTAAACGTGCAATTTTAACCAAAGCATAAGGACGATTTCAGTAATTTACTCTCCATATATATATATATATATATATATATATATATATATATATATGTGTGTGTGTGTGTGTGTGTGTGTGTGTGTGTGTACACACACATATATACAGGTGTTTAATATATCTATTGTGTTATTGTATGCACAAATATGTACCAATCATTTTTAAAGGGTATTAATGTAATCTTATAATATCATTTATATTTTCAGAGTTCATTAAAGTATGATTGATATCAATCAAATTCATAAAGTATGAGTGATATCAATCAAATTTAGAGAAGGAAAGACTAATTTAGATGTGACTGCAAAGCGAAAATTGTTTTTATTATAGTATATGGTACAAATAAATATGTTGTTTGGTAATTACAAGATTGCTGAATTTATCGAACAACATAATCATAAGTTGTATGGTAAGGACAATATGTTTTTTTCTTGTACAAAGAAGAAACTTGATTATTCACAGGAGATTTTTATTCATAACTTATCAAAGCAAAATATTGGTGCCTCAAGAGCACATAGATTGTATTCCGAACTTCAGGGTGGTTCTAACATTCGAGGTGGTTTGGTTTCTGATTTGAAACCAGTACGAGAAATCTCAATTCTTACATAGGTTCCGGGGATGCAAAATTCCTTGTGGTGAAGATGCTGGAAAGGAAAAAAAAATATCCCAAGTTTTTCTTTCGATTTTAAAGTTGTTGAGAAAAAATTGAATTCGGTTTTTTGGGCTGACGAAACTGCAAAGTACAACTACAATGCTTTTGTAGACGTTGTTTATCTGGATGCGACATTCAACATGAATAAGTATTTTTTAATTTTCGAATGTTTTCACATAATTTTTCTTGCTTCCAATAACTCTTACCAAGTTTTATTTTTTTAAACAGATATGATATGGTTTTCGTACCTTTCACTGGGATAGATAATCATAAGAAATGTGTGACTTTTGGTGTTGGATTTTGAGTAGAGAAGATGGTAGTTCTTACTCTTGGCTGCTTAGAGCATTTGTGAAAACATTCAAAAAAACAACCTACGCTTTTTCTTAGAGATCAAGATCCAACTTTAAACAAGGTTGTTAATGAAATATTTCCAATGTCGGCACATAGGTTTTGTATGTGGCATATTACAAAAAAACTTCCAAACAACGTGAATATTTTTTTTATATTAAAAAACAAAGTCACTATGTTTACCTTGTTAGTACATATTGTTAAGTCACAAATTAATTATTTCATAACAAAATATATGACAGAACTGCAATTCAGAATGGTATTCTGATAGAATTTAACCAAAATTCTGTTAGAATTTATGTTTCACACCATTCATACCCTTCATTCGTTGTACATCACGATTATATCTTTTATACTGATATATATATATATATATATATATATATATATATATATATATATATATATATATATTATTCAGATAACATTGCAACTAGCCACAAACTCAGCTTTTCGAAAGCGTTTTCACTCTATAATTTGGAAATTAAAGCTGGAACCACATGATTTTGAAAAGGAATGGAAATCTTGTTTAAATGACTTTAACATTTCAAATAACAAGTAGTTGCAAGAGATGTATGGGTTGCGTAGACATTGGGTACCTGCATTTTTCAAGGACATACTGATATCTGGTCTTATGAGAACTACATCATTGTAGGAAGGCCAAAATTGGTCGTTTCAGTACAATATCCTTACTGGTTCTTATCTTTTAATGTCTATGATGACATTTGAGGGTATTATGGAGCATCATAGGCGTAATCAAGTTGTCAATGACTTTAAAAGTGCTACAACACTTCTTGGATTCATCACATCTAGTCCAATTGAACCACGTGCTTCGAAGGTCTACACTCGTAAAAAAATTTATTAGGTGCAGAAATAGATTTCAGATTCTGGTAACACTTGTTTCTAAATGAGTGTTACTTCTAATAATGGCGTTGACACTATTATTGTTTTGGAGAAGCAAAAGAACATAACAACAAGGCAACCATCAAATCCTGTTGTTGATGAGAAACTTGAGGAATACCATTACGATCATCTTACAGAGGATACCCACTACATCGTACGTTATTATTAATTTAACACTGCATAATTTTTTTGTAGTCACACAACAAGACTTTATTAATGAAACCCATATTTTATCATACATATTCCAGGTTACACACTAAACAATAGATGATTCATACAAATGTACCTGCATACATTTTGAACATGTCGGTATTTTGTGTAGGCACATATTTTGTGTCTTTTAAGTACTATAGTATTGAACAGATTCTTGAAGAATACATTATGAGATGGTGGCGTCGGGATGTTGTTCCAACAGAATTGCTTAAAAGGCATTTTTCTAATTATTTATTAGACTCTAACCTTGTTTCTGATGGGTTTTGGTCATACGAACATCCTATGTGCTCATACAAACCCTAATGCTTGGATCTCGGTTTCTCTATTGTACATGCAAGTTATCCAAGACTATAAACCCTAATTCTATCATACAAGTAATCATATTAACATAAGAATGAGTTTAAGATCATACCTTGATTGTTATGTAGCAATAACAATCCCAAATCTCCTTGTATTGACTTTAGAAAGCTTAGAGTCACAAATGTCACTCCTCTAATGGTTCACAAACACCATAAGCAAGAGGATGAAGAGGAGAGAGGATGGAGGCTACCCAAAACGTGTTCTAACCCTAGAAGAAGTCTTCCCCACGTTTTTGGGTCATAAGGGGTCTTTATATAGTGAGGCTATTAGGGTTATCTAACAAGGAAACACTAATTTGGATGCTTAAGCCCTAAGCAACCCATAGACTCCTTTAATTAAGGCCTTGGATGATTTCCTTAAGGGCTTCCCCATAGAATTCGTCCACTCCTTAATTTAAGACAATCTATAGCCCAAATTGCAATTATCTTATAATTACAATTCCAGTCCCTTAAGTTTAATTAATCTCTTTTAGTCACAAAACTAATTACTAATTAATTCTTGACTAATATTAATTAAACAATATGATTTCTCCTTTAATATATTATTCTCATAATATATTAATAAATCATATTTATCCTTTCTCTCCATAATTCATCCTATCAAGTTGCTTCGGTGAAGGCAACCCAAAAGGACCACGCACCATCGGGTCAAGTACATACCAAAATAGTTATGGACTTAGACACTAATCCAATAGTCTCCCACTTGGATAAGTCTAATAACTATTATGCATATGACTTCAGATCCTGATCTGCAATCGTAGCTTTCCAAAGCCGCTGTCAACTCTGATCCTACCAGATACGCGTGTCCT